TCCATTTGGAATGGACACAAATTCCCATCTGACATATGTCCATTCCGAATGGACATAAATTCCAAATGGACATACAATATACTAGTGTACTGTAGCAGCGCTGCAAAAGTCGAAAATGTATACTGAGAATAACCGATAGATAATTGCTAAAAATAGCTCAATTAGTCCAATCGAAAAGTATATAAGCATGAATTTCAGCTAGAGTCGGTGTGTTTCGCAGTGTGAAGTTGATTCCTTTATTTCATATATTATTGTCAATAAACAAGTATCGCATTTACTCTGAGTCTAAATTATTGACACCCTATTCTCTAAATTAGTTGATATATTTGAGAACCGTTAAATCCGTATATCAACGAAGGATAATTGCCCTCCTGTCCCGCAATTATCTGAGTGGCGAATTAAGATATTTAATCGTTATCTTAGAAACGCGTTTATTCTTATATTGTACCCCAAACGGGAGACTATCGAATTTATCCCGCAATAGTAACCCGACGGAAATACTCGAGTACGATTAACATATCTAGGATTTGCGTCATTCTACGACGAAATAGTTCGTAAGTGAAAAGCCTTGAATTAACGAGGTCACTAACTGTATTTAGAAATTTACCTAGAGTAGGAGGTGCCACGCTCCGTCGATACTAGCTAAATCCCATGTGCCGATTATTATCCGCTCTCCCATGATAGTCGGCACGAAATGCAATATATTATTCTGGTCTGCCTGCTTGCACCTTTTTTGATTTTCGTGGGGTGAAATTTGGAGACCTAATGAACGCAAGCTTTGAATGTGCTGGTTCTGGCTTCCTCATGTCGAAGATCTTCATGTAATAATGTTTGCTATTGGCAGACACTTGCGCATAGCATTTTCCTATCATAATTACAAAAAGGGCAGAATAAGAACCTGCCACTAAAATTTCAAAAGTGCACATCACTCCTCACCTTGAAGAAATACAGAACCTCCAATGCATATCATAATGTTTTCAACTGCAGTAATTGTGCCGGAAATTGCCAAAATATAGGCCATCATCCACCAGGTCAATGCCAATAAGATATGGCTGCTCAAACCTAGTATGTTAAAATTTCAATAAATGTAAATAATTATGGATATACTTATTATGAGACATGGATTAGAAACTTGCCTGCACACTGCAAAGTGTAGTATACATTTGTCAAGGAGAGCAGATGCTTCATCAAAGAAGATAATAATTCTTGTGTGTTCACTCAACAGATCTGCAGAATTTTTGTCCAGTTGCATGGCATGAAATGTTCATATCATGGATTGTAGCAATGCTCTGCAATCCAAAGACCACTGAGTCTTTGCTTCCTGTTCTGGAATATCCTGCAACAGAAATCTGTTGAGAATGCACTGGTTTGTGCAAAGACACTTACTATGATCCCTGACAGCCTTAGCTGGTGTCAGCACACTCTGAGTGACTCAGATTGATACCATGGGATACCATCTTAGATGTTGATGCAGTAAAGTTATCCTTAATTTCATTCAGATTAGTTCCTATATTTTGTTGGAGTATTCTTTTTAGTCTCTTGGTGTAATTTTTCTGCTTGAGTCACAATATGTCTTTATGGACAGTACTTTACATCAGCATGCCAGAGAATTGACACGAGGGTTTGTAGACTTAAAAAGCATTTCACCCCTGTGTGATGCTACGCAATCTGTGACATATTCTCTCCTTTATTGCCGCAACCATATTCGATCAGCGGTAACACCAGCGCAACTGCGGATTCGGGAGTAGGAGTAGGGGTACCGGTACAAGTGTTGCAAGGCACGGGCACTACTGCAAGTGATACAAACATTTCTAATATAGCGGTAGTCACTAGTGAGTCACTAGTGCAGAAATAGTGCGGCAACGCTTCCGTACATTCCAAACGTATGCTAAAGAACAATCGATAGAATATCATAATTAGCTGCCAAAATAGCTCAATTAGACCGATCAAAAGATATAAAAGCAGTAGGAGTTTTAGCTAGAGTCGGTGTATTTCGCATGGTGAATTAAGATCCTTATATTCCTTATAATTCATATATTATTGTTAATAAACGAGTATCGCATTTACTCTGAACCTATATTATTGACCCTATTCTCTAAATTAGTTGATATATCTGAGAAACCGTTAAATCCGTATATCAACGAAGGATAATTACCTCTTGTCCCGCAATTATCCGAGTGGCGAGTTAGGATATTTAATCGTTAGTTTTAGAACGCGTTCATTCTTAGTGAATAAACCATGTACCCCAGACGGAATAACCCCTCGATAATAACCGATAGACATACTCGATTACAATTAATATATCTAGGATTTACGTCATTCTACGGTAAAATAGCCCGTAAGTAAAAAGCCTTGAATAAACGAAGTCACTAACTGTACCCCAGACATTTAACTAGAATAGGAGGCGTCACGCTCCGTCGAGACTAGCTAAATCCCAAGTGTCGATTACTATCTGCTCTCCCGCAGTAGTCGGCACGACACCTGCATTACATATCAATACAGCTAAATCAAAAATGTCAAATGAAAAGTAATTAAGTAGAGTCTTAAATAGAATCTTACCAACAGAGGTCAACTAATTGTGAGACATCTGAGAATATGACATCAAGAATGGGTGCTATCATTTGAATATATATTCCATTTCTGTGAGTTTTTTCTTTGAAAACATATCCAATCTATTAATAGAAGTCAGACTTAGTTTCAATAAATATAAATAAACAGACTTCAGCAAGCATGACTACATACACAATAAAGTATGTTTTGAGAATCTGTTGGTATTTAATGTCATAGCTATCTGATTGCTTCATTTCGTCCAAAATATGTTTTTGTGCTTCCCAGTACTTATAGACAGCACACATCTGGAAGTGAAAAGAAGTTTAGCATTATTATATGTTATTATTTTTCAAAAATAGGAGTGTTTTCTTACTTCTTCTATAGTCTTCACAATTTCATGGATGGCACCTTTGAATTTACATGGTGCGAGATTGAGCTGACTATACACCATGGTTTTTATATCTTCCCAGTCCTTCTTGAAGAATGTCCACATGCCACCATCAAATTCAGAACTTAGATCAACAATAGAGGAGAGCCCTAGTCTGATACTTTAAATTATTATTACTTGCATATAATGATACAATTATGTCATAGGCTAACAATATCTCTTACCTATCATTATCTCCGGTTCAGTGAATTAGTCAGCAATACTAATTATGAACACTCAACTATAGTCGAGGGACCTAGACGGAATGTTATCCATACTCAGTTGAAGGTAGAGATGACAATATCGTATAAGTTGAGCTACTTCTTCGATGTCCTGTTAAGTGAGAAATAACCGTTACGAATAATATATTATTCGTTATAGTCATCCAACCATTATGTCTATACTTGATAAACAACGGTAGAGATAATAATATCTCTCTCACTTAAAACACATCGGTATTCATAGCCTTTCCTATGTTAGTTAAGAAAGTTATTAAATGTTCGCTACGAAGGGATACATAGTGAAACCACTACGTTACGAGCCGACGGAACGACTCGTCCCGTTTTGATACAAGTAATAATATTAACACAACATAACTCTTGTTCAGCGATCGTACTTACTTTTTACTTATTCTTAAACATGATCTTTCTTCACGAACAAGTATTGTTCCATCGAACTAATATGTCCGTAATAAAGCTTTAGTGTTCATTAATTATCGCAGCGGAAGTCTTATAGTTAACCAGCTTCCATATCAGCTACGTTTATATCGTTCTGCTCCTTCTTCACGATAGTCGCTTCGGGAGACTTAAGAACAATTGCATTTATTATCCTTTCATTCGGACTGATCGTTTTCAGTATTGAATCGCTTGCAATAAGTTAACCAAGTTTTGCGACAAAAGTCTAACGAGGTTTCGTTATGCATTAAATTCGTATACCAGAGTTTGATCGTTGTCGATTTCAGGGAAATATGCAAGGTGTTTATTTCGCAATTATCGAATATTGGTTTATTGATAAGAACAAGAGTTTAGAAATATTCATTATTTCCAGGTCTTCAAGACCAGATGCAAAAAGATGTTGAGACTTGGTCGTCCTCGGTGCCTTTTTATACATGTTTGAAACACTCCGCAACTAATTAATATCCAATAAAAATATAAGCGCGTATTAGATCTCAGTTCACTTGATCAAATCGCCATTTACACGATTACAATGAATAGAATATAACTTTTACTGTACCAAATGACACTCATTGTAAATGCATCAGCCCTCTTGGTATTCTTTGATATCGTTGCCAATTTCATTGTGCTACTTGCAAGAACTTCTGTCACAAGTTTTCCATTTTTTAGCCTCCATACTGAGCAGATAGTAATTGACACTTGGGATTTAGCTAGTATCGACGGAGAGTGGCGCCTCCTCCTTCTAGTTAAATATCTGGTTTACAGTTAGTGACCTCGTTAATTGAAGGCTTTTCACTGACGGGCTTTTTCACCGTAGAAATGACGTTAATCCTAGATATATTAATTGTAATCGAGTATGTCTATCGGTTACTATCGTGGGATAAGTCGATAGTCTCCCGTCTGGGGTCAATGGTGATAAATCATAATAATGCGCATCTACATAACAATTAATTATCGTAATTTGCCACTCGAATAATCGCGGGACAAGAGGCGATTATTCTTCATCGATATAGGGATTAGCGGTTTCGATAAGTTACCAGGGAATGAATCATTAACTATGTATTTCAGAGCATAAAAAACTACTCATTTATTTACAATAAAGGAATCGAGAGTAATTAGACATGCTAAACATACACTTCTTTCTGACTTCTATCTAACTTGAAATCTATGCTACTTATATATCTTTCGAGCGGACTAATTGGTCTATTTATTTCTAATCATCTATCGATTGTTCTCAGTATACAATTATGACTTTTGCAGCACTGCTGTGTACCATGCGCTGGTGTTACTGCGCCGTCGGAGTAATGCAGAAATTTAGGAGAGAATACAATCACCGTTCATAGCGTAGCATCTCAGTTTCATCAAGGGTTTTATCAATTGCTGTTGGTGGAATAAGGTATTTTCTTCATCACTATCCTCATCTTCTTCTTCGCTCTCTCTTTTGTCTCTATCATCATTGGTGTCTTCATTGTCCGAGTTTATATCAAACAACCTCATCTTGAAGTTCTGCATAAAAAATGAACTAATGAATTAACTATCTGGACTTTCTGCCCTTGATGGATATATACACCAAATACCTGTGTATTAGCATCTGGTATGTGTTTACGTTTATGCCTTAGTACTTGTTCTAAAGGTGAGACTTCACTGGAATCGGATTTGGTGTCCTTTTTAAAGATATTGTTACGGTCAGGAAATAAAATGGGGGGTTTGGGAGAGCGATTTGTCTTTCGTGTAGATGTGTTCGCCGACTGGGGGATATTACCAGGCTTAGCTCGTACTATCGCCCTTACTACGATAGTTGTGTAATTAAGACTGAATTTTAAGCCTCAAGTGACCTAATTTTAACTTCTCACTCCCTATCCGAGTTTCAAACATTCGTGAATACAAATAAAGGTACCTCTAATAATATAATAACAATAATTACTCTACTAAAGAATCGAAGGGGGATAAAATTTAAACAGGGCTATCTTCGATTTGTTTTTCCACGTCGGGTATCCGTCACTTGTCTTTCTAAACTAATTAAACATTAATCGTCTCGATAATTGATTATGAACTCTCGTTCCACGGACAGCTTACTAGCTTGATCAAATCAACGCTATTCCGTTACAGCTTAAGTGAGTTGTTTATTGGAGTGTCCGGCCTAATAATCAATCATAGAAAATAAATTTTGTATATTTATAATAAAGGATTGTGGGAGAATACTACTAAGATCAGTAATATTTATTTTTATTCGTAACATGACAACATTCAAAACATTACAATATTTAACATGAAGATTTGGATGGAATATGAGCTGCTTATATATCTTTGTGCTGTCGCGGAAAAAGCGCAATGCACTTTTAACTATTTCTAGAAGAACAATTAAATATGTATTAATTATAGCGTTTTGTGCTGTCGCGGAAAAAACGCAACGCACTTTTAACTATTTTTAGAAGAACAATTAAATATGTATTAATTATAGCGTTTTGTGCTGTCGCGGAAAAAGCGCAACGCACTTTTAACTAAATCAATGCTTTTTGTGAAACTGAGTAACAATATAATCTACCCATTTCCTATGACAATGATTCAAGGGCTCATTATTACCTCTTCTTTTGATCCAATTGCAATTGTTCCACGACTTACAACTATGTGGCTGCAATTAAATGTTGGTTGATAGAAGTTAACTGAATATTGTCCCATTTTTCTGGCTACCATATAATCAGATCCCTATGATAAAAATGCATTAGTGATATTCCAACAGGCACATTCCTCTAACCCACCAGTCCGGCTAATAGCATTCGACATCAAGCAACCTAGTAGGTCACTTGTGCCCCAACAATGGTTTTGTGGCGAACAAATCTCAGAGATCTATGAGCCACTATTTCAACTATATTTTTAACAAAAACTTCCTCACTTACCGATCTATATCTTTTCAGTAGTTGCTTCGTTTGCTCATGCTTCAGGCCATCTTCAGTAGCAACAATCGTTTCAAGGCACTTGATGTAACAATCTATTTTTCTTTCAAAAGGTTCTCGATCGCAATCATCCAAAAATTCTGAAATAGTCCACTTGGATTTTTGCTCAAACTGTTTACAGTCAGAATACTTATGTATCTATTACAAAGAGAAATGCAAATTAGCTCACATCCCCACGTAATAATATAGGAAGAAAAATGTTCGAACGGTGCAAGAATGAGCAAAAACATCCATTTCGTCAACGGAAACGGAGGCCAGTAACAGATCTTTCTTTTCTTAGCATTACGTTACAACCAATCGGCATTCCTTGAAGCCGGTAATAGACTTACGAGTATAAGCGACAACCCGGATAAGTGCTTTTTCAGTATTGTACCTACCTTACGCTTAAATGTTCTAACGGTGCAAGAATGAGCGAAAACATACATTTCGTCAACGGAAACGGAGGCCATTTCTGTAACAGATTTTTCATTACGTTACAACCAATTGGCATTTCTTGAAGCCGGTAATAGACTTACGAGCATAAGCGATAACCCGGATAAGTGCTTACCTTATGCTGATACGCGGTCTAGCGAAAGATCTGACTGACGCGTGAACTATTTTGCATAGGTCCCGTGATTTAACCAATAGTTTTTTCTGCCGATAGTAAAAGCTACCGCTCATGGCCAACTTTATGTTGCTTGCTCTAGGACTACGTCTACGTAGACCTGTAGGAGGAATGGTTATAGTGCTTAAATGGTTTATTTCCGTCGTTATGTACGCATTATTGACGCTTACACACTACACGTATGCAGTTGGACCGGCGGGTTAACAAACTCGTTATTAATTACGATATTGATATATGAACAACACACGTACGAGTTTATCCTCTCTCATTTGCCTTGGTTCAATATCAACTACGAGCCTTATCGCAGTGTCACGAATAGAATCGTGATGATAAGTTTTTCTCTTGCTGAACGTCTCATAGGTTTGTTAGCGCGAACCATAATGAGTTACAGCACGTGAATTCGTTATGTACTACACAGTTTTTATTATAGCGTGTGTTACATAAACGCCATGGGGTTGTCAATGTGTGTACCAAAGTACCCCCGTAGTAAAATACCCCCTAAAAAGCGTGAAATGTAAAATACCGGGGGTACTTTTAGTATCGCGAGGACTTTTATTCACATGAACTCTTTACCGATACATACTTCAACGCCTACCCACAAGAAAATAGAGACACTTTTTTGATTTTGATATAATCAGTGGAGAAATATTCGTACGTTCACACATGAAAAAGTGTTTGTAGGGTATCTTTTGGAGTATGTATCGGTACAGACTATGAGCATAGGTTGTTTCATTCAAAAGTTATCGAAGTTTGAAGTTCGTATGTTTTTACTGTCGAGGCAATTTAGAAGCTAAAAACAACGCCGGTCACTTCTTACTTTATTACTAGCCAGAATTAATGAAATTAGGCATTTATCAGGGAGTACATGAGATACAGTCGTCCCCTTTATAAGTACCTCTTATACAGTCACAAACTCCATGTAGTCAGTGAACCTGGATATGACGAAGTTTTTAAATCTGTCAACTAATAAGACTATAACGAAGTTTTTCGATAACGAACTCCTACTATTATAAATATAATTTCGCTATTATTAGTAAAATTGGTAAATAAATAATCTCGTATGTTTGTATTGACTCTCATCATAATGGTTAACGATAACTTGTTAAGAACAAACGCCGCGCACTTAGGGGTATAAAAAGGCAATCGGATGTGCTGTACCGACAGTCAGTGAAATTTTTTCCAATAATGATTTTTGGCTTAATATCGATGAGAATTCTACCACTAGTACGTTTAAAAGAAGATGTCAAAGCAATTTTCCTAATATAGAAGGGGCATTGAGTCTTTGGGTAGAAATACAGTCAGCGACAAAATAACTTTAACGGATTCAATTCTGAGAGAGAAGGCTAGAAAATTTGTTTGGTAATTGCGAGTTTGGGGCGACTAATGGGTGGTTAGAAGGATTTAAAAACGAAACGGTCTAAAGTCTTACAAAAAGCAAGTGGAAGCTGATAGCGTCGATTTGGCTAAATTACCCATATTTGAAATCAGTTTTAGAAGGTTATAATACATGTGATATATTCAACTGTGACGAGACAGCTCTGTTTTGGAAATGGAACCTCGAACGACACTTGCTCGCCAACCAGTTACCGGGAAGAAATTGTCGAAGAATCGTGTATCGATACTAGTAACTTGTAACGCAACCGGAGAAGAGAAATATTTATAAATACCCATGAGCATTGCGCGAAACTGACAAAGATACTCTTGGGGTATGGTACATACTATTTCCACAACAAATCTGCCTGGATGCAGCGATCAATAGCCATAAGCAAAGACGTGTTGAATGGGCACAAAAAAATAATAATGACAGTTGGAAAAAGACATTATTTAGTGGCGAAACATTGTTTCAATTGTTTCGTAACATCATAAAGCATTAGTATAAATATTCGCGTGGAGTGGTTTCTGTGTAAAAGGTAAAGCATTGCCCAAGAATTTCCAACGTTCCGGCTGAGTCCGGACCTACCAGGTCGGCTCAGAAACCTTTGAATGACAGAGCATCTCAAAGCACTATAAGCATCTCCCTATACAGAACATTTCTTTCTGTCGAAAACAAGCGCGCAATATATTTTTGGCATGCTTAAAAAATATTTACTTTATGGGTCAGCATTCGACCCGTCAGTGTCACTCTTACATTGTAATCTCAAGCGCTCGAGCAAATTCTATATGGATTGTAGCCAATATAGAACAAATGCTACTTGTAATTGAAATAGGTGTGTGCTTGCTTTCACAATAAAAATATTTTACTGAAAGCTGATTCAACAGACCTGCGAAAATAATGAGTCAGTTTAGTTTTCCATTTAAAAAATATTTAATTGGACGAGTTTTTGTTCTTATTACTTCAAGATTTCTCTTCAACGCTAATAGTGTAATGTACAGTATAAAATAATAGTTTTATCTGGATTAGGATTTACAAAATGGAAAGTTAAATGATCCGATGTATTAAGTGAAATATATAAAAATGAAGCGTCTACGTATTTGGTTAATGACAAAAATTAGTTTTGCTTTAATGGTTTAAAACCCTCCGCCATAATTTTTTCGTTGGGGACTGTACCCCCAATAAAAGTTAAAGATATGTATACATGGTTAAAGCCATTGAAGAGGCTGTATTATATACAAGTGACTTTTAACGAGCACTTGATAGCAACAATAGCAATTTTTGGTCTTTTTGTGCAGACTTGCCGATGACGATAATTGCTATGTAATTGATTTCTAAGAATAAACATTACAGGATAAGCCCCAATGATTAAAATAGTAATCTTTTCTTTGATGTAATAATAGGAAGACTGGTCGTCTCCAACCCGTTACCGATAGAGGAGCGACGCAGATGGAAAAGATGGCCCATGTGGAAGTGTCAGCTTGCCGGCTTGCATGTCAATGCCAGTCACTTTCGTTAATCACAATTGTTTCAATTGATAAGGCATCTATCAAGGTGCTGTCAAAGACTATTATCTTGCCAATACCAAGGAACAAGCGTATGCGGACAAAGCCGGTGATTGGTGGGCAAACTCCCCTTCTCAGGAGCTTACATGATTGTGACATTAGACGTATAATGGCGTTATGCAGACAATGTCATTTGTCTCTCCGCATCTGGAATGTTGTCAATAGACTCTGCTCGCATTCGCCATGCAGGCATGTTTAGCCCGTAATCCAATCACATGATCGTTGATCAGCTCTACGTTGGAAACTCGAACATGTTAAAACATAATAATTTTAGCGTTACGTGCGGCGACCCAGTACCGCTTTTTCTTTATTCACGTTTTTTACATCTACCGAGCCAATTTAAAGCTCTTCATGATTTCTCGAGTTATTTCATGCAATCGATTTTGCGCAGATGTTCATTAAAGTGTCTATCAAGTAGATTTCTTAATTTAAATCATTATATTATACACGGCAATTCATTACCTATAAACAATTAATCTATCGTCATGATAATTGTTCGTTATAATAAAATTAGTTATGCAACTCCAAACATCCAGAATGGAATGATTCCATCCCATCTTGCTGATTCTCCTATTCCTATCCTTCTGCTTAATTCTTTTTCCCATCCATCATCTCCTGGTCTCTGGTCTAAAAATACATTCATCTTCCCTCCTATCTTTTTCAAAAAGTATTGATAGTAATCGTGTTCATCTCCATGCTCATGCCATATGCCTCTCTTGGCATCGCTAGTCTTGTGAGCTGTCTGCGCCATTTGCAACATTGGTATCAGAGTCCCGTCTGATACGTGATTTGAATATTGATTGAAATGAGATATTATGGCTCTACTCAATCTTTGCCCTCGTTTGGCTGTATGATGCCATATATCAAACCCAACTTCATAGTTCTGTACTCCCCTTATTAAAGTAAGCCAATAATATATATTGAGTGTGGAATAATGGAATTCAGATTCAGCCATTTCCGAAGACATTATCTCTCCAGACATCAGCAGATCGTTCGCAAATGATTGTTCGTATGGTTGTTGAAGAACAGAAGCCGATAATGCCTCTGTCATTTGGAACTGTTTGCCAATCTTCATCCTACATCTATTAATCACCCTCAAGTACGATCTAATATCATCGACAAATCCACTCAATGAGGCTACTTGTAGATCATACAACGTGCTTCTATGATCACCCAATCGATTCATTTTGAGGCCTTCTGAAGAATTAATCAATGTCTCTAACCACTGTGTCGCTATTCCCTTGATGGTTGTGTACTCGCTGTGAGATAGTGTGTGCTGTTTATACAAAAGGCGTACTCCATCAAGGAAGGAACTAGGATTTAGTGTCATTATATCTGTATTGGTAGGTAGCACCTTTCTATTCACCTTCGGTAGTGAACGCGGTAATACGTGAAGATTTGGAAACAAATATCCTTGGTCATTGATCGCTTCTACGTCGGTTACGTTAAGATTTACCTTTGTATTACTTGGACCATCTAACGCATACGATGAAAGCATATAAGCACGGATAAGATTAGATGACCATCTACCATAACGAACGTCGTTGGTGAAGTAATTAGCCAGAGCCAGAGTAGTCACATTCTCAAACAATTCTGAAGTCGTTGGGTAATCTGTCGACGATAAATCGAAATACCTCCACTCATTATCGCTTGAATATTTTGCATATATCGGATTCTCCTTATCATGTGACGTGCTCTCTGAAGATGCTTTCGATTCCATTACTAAATGGTCATCAGATTGTTCGTTCGGAATTACGCTTTTAAAACGTTCCATAGCAGCATTGACCATTTCATCAGCCTTCTTGATCAGCAAATCCACTATTCGCTTTACTTTAATTTCTCCGCTCCAGTATTCCAGTCTAGCCGCTTTCAATCCGTTCTCGTTATACACAAACAATTTATTGGGATCGAATCTCTGTACATCCTTTGCAACACGTTCGTCTAATGTATCAAGAAATTCCTGAATTCCGAGCAATCTGTTGAATGCACGAAGACCATAGGCTTCACGACGGTGATGTTCTTGTTGTGCCTGCCCAGAAAATAAACGAAAGACCCAGCCTGTCGTCTTGAAGAGACGTTTCTCTGGCGAAGTGTAGGCTCTGTGACTGTCTGCTTCCCAAGGAAACACAGAAAAGTTCATCTTACGTGGGGAGAGAACTCCTAATCGGCCGAGAAGTTCGAGCTGTGGTGAGAAATGAAAGAAAAGGTGTGACCAAAATTGTTGGATAAAATACAGTACATATCTATAACTCTTGAATCCAACAGTCGATGAACAAGTCAAGTATATGTAAAGATTCTGACTGATGATATAGCAATGCTAGACCATATGATATAACATGGAATATAGACTCAATTATCAAAAACAAGTTTTATCCCACACTCTTCTCGATCAACGTACCTTTGACCTCCTTCCGTATCTCATGTCTGGATTATACGACAATTCTGCATCGTTTCTAAAAATGACTTGCGGTTCTTCGGGGGTAAGTGGACGTACGTCAGGAGCCGTGAGAAGCTCTGTGTTGTTGAGTAAACGAGCCATAGGAACTACAAAGTATTTGTATTGTTCGCCCCAGATCCGCAATTGATATTCAATGTCTTTGAACGCATTCATGGTCAGGAAGCAATTACCATCGAATGGCATTACCCAACGGGCGTCGGGCTGTTTCTTGCCATGAGCCAATGCAGCGTTGCGACCACCATTCTAAAATTCAAGAAGAAATTGAGCAAAAAGTAAAAACAGTTGAAGAGCATATTCTCGAGTAAACCTGTTCATTTTCATGTTGGCAAACTAGCCAGGGACCAAACAATTGGTAACCTAACCAAATACCACCTTTATTCACTTTCCCGGTACTTACGTTGTTCATTGCATACAAGTTTTTGTCAGCATAAGTATAATCGATAGTGCGTAATTTTGCTATTTTAGGATACTGCAAGTAGTCATCAGAATGGAAGAAATCTGGTTTGGGGAAATCTTCCAAGCGAAAGTCCTTTTTCTGGTACTCGCTAATTTCGAATGGTATCCTCAGATACTCTTGTTCGTATGAATTCAGCAGTTGTATCAGCGCGTTCTCGTACTCTTCATCCACTATTCTGTTTAGTAGCCACACTTTTCTTGTATTAGGAAACTTTGGCTCATTGTTCAGTATAAAGCGTACATTCTGTAATATCTGCCCTGCCTTGTGGCGAGGAGGAAGATCATTGCCAAGCACTCGATATAGTATTATTCCGTCTGGGTTGGTTGTTATGGGAGCTCTTCCCGGTGAATATTGTACTGTGTTTGTAAAATAAGCATAGATTATTATTAGGCCAATTACAACAACGGCAATCAGGTGTGCTAGTCGACGCAGTAAGGCCTCTCTCCGTTGAATTGAATGTTGTATATGCGGATGGCTGTTATTATCCCAATATCTGTAGCCATATGGATATCTATGATGTCCACTGGGTATAAATTCCACGTCGCTGTGAGGTCTGTTTGCTGATCTTGCAATCAGACCGGTGGGATTTTCGGGTCTCGTTGCAGTTTGTCCTTTAACTGGAATGGATACTTGGTTGTTATCCATTGTCAGTCTTGGATATTTGGAGCGTTTGGAGTGACTTGATAAATTGGGACTTTCCCTTCCTTTGAATTTCTTGTTTTAATGGTAAAGTGACTAGTGAGGAAAAATAATGAAAAGCAAGCGTTCATGAATTGGGCATGGTGTGTATTTATACTGACTATGTCGTCATTGGATGTTATTTTAGGATTCTGTATTAATAGATATTGATGCACGGTTTTAGAAAAGTGATACGACCCAACACATGATAATGATACCTTAAATGGATGATATCGATATAATGGATTTTTCATGAATCAAACATAAAGCTCAATTAATTATTATCTCGTAATTGCGTACAATATCCGGTCCGTTATGACATATCGCTAACGATTTATAGAAGTCGTAATGACAAAATGGCCATACGTCGATCTATTAATCAATTCACAGTCTGTTTGTGATAAACATGCGCTCTGACAGTGTGACTGATGTTCGACTCGCAATCGACAGAGCTGTTGATCGGAAGGCATTAAAGAGTCACATATACGGGAATTCTTATGAATTAAATTTCTTATTTTGGTAAACATAGCTGAACGTGATCTCTAGACGAAACACGACGATCATTGTACCAGTTTAGTTTAAATTGCAAAATCATATCGGATGCATATCCCGTGCCAAGCCGAGACTAGCGAAAATGCCATTTCTTTATTTTGCCGAAAACCCCCATTTCTAGGCAGGGCAAAAAAAAAAATTATTATCTGCTTGGCATCAATAACATCGACCAATGACAGTGAGGGGCACACGTTCCCACAGTATCATACAGGCGATAAGCAAGTTTTCATTTCGTCAAAGTTTGCGGCGTTCGAATAGAAAGAGCACATTAAACATTTGGGGAAGTGTATGGCATATCAATGGTCATGGCGCGCTGGTCTACATAATAATAACTATTCATATCGTTAAATCACTTGCATATTAACATTAACATGGGTTACCCAAATCATATTAATACAATAAGCTCAATGTACCGATCACCACAAATGACGGGATTTCGATCATGATATTATATTCCCCCACATCAATTTTTTTCTTGGGGGGCTTTCACTTTCAGTCTGACCCCGACAATGGTTATGGTTTTATGCCAAGAAAAAAAGAAAAAGGAGAACGTTAACGATTGTGTGACTTTGGCTATGAAACACGTGCTTTGAGCAATAAATATTAGAATACTGATCCATTTATGGGAGGGCCCTACTCGGAATTTGATGGGAAAGTTAACCGTGTTACGTGTCCGATCTGGTAAAATTCATACAGAAAAGAATTACTAGAAAAAGCCTTTATTGATTTCGCAATGATAGCCCTAATGCGGTAGTGTCGGTGCTCACAAATCAGAAATCATAATATAACATATAATTATAATATATAACACACAAAACCTTAATTTATCCATACAATAGCTAATGCAGTGTTCTGCGGATATTGCGATAATACCACGTGGTACTGCATACGGAATCTAACAACCTAAACATTGTTTTTTCCTGACAGGGACTTATGTCTGCATAATCGACCAATCTGTAATGTGTCATAATAAAGTTGTTGACAAGTCGAAGATGTGCGCGCTTGGCACGCCGAGAAAGCTTATGCTATGATTTGTCGAGTCTAAGCTATATACCAAAACTTGACAAAGACAAAAGACTTGTTTGTCTAGCACTCTTTCATTGACAGAATCCTGTATCACAACGTGAATGATGTCGAACTAACATTGCAGTCTGTCAATCAGACTGTGTATGGGAAATATGGATACATTGTTGTGAATGCCCACTCTCATATCTATATTGTTAGTATCGATAATAATAAACTGAACGCTACATCTGTGGATTATTTTAAATTAGCCTTGGTCACCGAACTGATCACAAAGACCTCTCTGCATGAGGGGAAGAATCCTGCAGTAACAATCGTCACACGAAGAGTATAGCCCATTCAAAGCCAATTAGCCAGTACGAAAATGGTAAACGGTTAAGGCTCAACAGTTTTGGTTGATACCTTGACGGTTTGTATCGGTATTTCATGTTCGGGCGTGTACATATCAATAACAAGAATACTAGTGGCAGAATATAACGGCAGAACGTTCTATTTAATAAAACTAATTTCGAATTCGCAGATCTTTGGTTATATTGACTGACTATTTGGTTTTGTTGCACATTTACAATAATTGGTCGGCGATATTGGGAACTTTATACTCCCAAACTATAAGCTTCAAACGGTTTAAGCTGCCGACCTGAAATGACTTTTATCAAATAACGGTCGCATATTCCGCAGTAGTAGTTGGGTAACAGGGTATCCTTTTTATAGTCTGCCATTCCGCACAAATTTCCTTACTTAGAGTCCCCAATAAATTAAATTTACACAACAAATCTTGAAAGACAGACATCCATGTTGTCATGTAAACGCTGACTGTTTTCTTTCGACAATCTTTCTGTTGAAACGAACTTTTCGTATACCCTTGTAATTGGCGTAAACATCAGAAAGTTCGCCTCCTTAACATTCATGCATAAAGTGATAGATATTGGTGACCAGCATGCACGAAGTGACCAACTCCGGATATAGAAACTATTTTTATATTTATATTTACAACCGTATACATGCACATGAACAATTACTTTGATTGGCAGCCTGAATCAAAAATAGACTATTACCCACAAGGGGGTGGGGACAAAGGTCATTGCACAGTCGTGGTTCGAAAAGTTTGTTTTTTATTGAATTTTTATTGAATTAACTTACCTTATCAGTTGTCTAATGAAACATTAATGTTTATTTAATGTAACGTGTCATGATACAAATTAGTAAAAAGTTCAATTTTCTGCTTTTGGCGTCTCGCTAAAAAGCCTATTCCTCATAATCACGGCAAAAAAACCACCTAGACACTATCACAAAAATGATAAAATACTATCGTAAAACAGTTTCAACAGCGGCTTACTACTATAAATTAATCAGTAAAAGAAGAGTGGAATCCGCATCCGCGAAAATATAACTTCAACAAAATTCAAGCCGTCATTGCTGCAAATGGAGGAAATACTAAACAAATTTATTAGATTCCTTAAAAAAGACTTACTAGAAGACCAATTACCAATAGACGTCATGTCGTGACAAATTATCTTGTCATTTACTTTAAATTTTCAACAAACTTTCCATATGCGCCAATTGAGCTTTTTACTAATTTATTGTTCTGCTCATCATGACACGTTACATTAAATAAACATTAATATTTCATTAGACAACCGATAAAGTAAGTGGTTCAAAAGTTGGTTTTTTTTATTTCATATAAAAAATTTATGGAATTAAATAAATTGGATCTATGATTTGCAACAAACGTTTACTAATGTTTTAGTCATGTCTTACCCACATTTCTTCCACTATTGTTTTTAAGCCGATTAGCTCTCACCAATAACAGTGAAAGTTAGTGTGCAAGCCCCGAAAATCAACCTTTTAGTTGTAGTTGAGCAGTATCCGCATTACTATTACCCAGCTTGCGTCTTTTCAGTTTGATCTGGTTAATATTAGTGAAGTCTTCTAATGTGTTGATGATAGTGCCTCCGGGGTACTGACATCTCATATTGGTGGAGATGCACTATTTTGATAAATCCCACTTTTAATTTATTGTCTGTTTGACATAACATGTCATATTTTTAGTTTTAGTTCTTCAATGTCTGCTTCTCTTTTTTTATTGAGATCGTTGATTTCTTCTAATAGTTCTTTATTTCTCTGTTTGAGTTTATTTATTATGTTTGTCATGGTTTTTTTATTTTATTTACTCTTTTAATGATACTTATATCCTTTTTATGAGGGAATATTAAGTATATAATTATTTTAATAATATTAATATGTTGGTTTTGGACAAGTAATATCTTTGAATTCATCTCTAACAAATGGGCGAATATTATGATAAAGATATTCTTGCCTTTTATAATCCAAAGGAGGAGGAGTTAGAATTAGGATGGAAAAGGATCTAATTTCTTTGATAATTTCGGAAACACTTGCTTTTCTGGTTTTCAATAAATTAAATTCAGTAAAAGAACCATTAGCAACCATCTGAGCTTTGACAATACCAGGATTGGCTGCTTCGAATACAAAATGCTGATATTTTTGTAAACCACTCAATTTCTTAAAGAAAATCCCCACGGAATTAAGATCTAAGTATTGAAAACCCTTGCCGTTTTCATAGCACTGAGCTTTGTTTAATCCTGCTGTACTCGATTTTTTCACAACTTTAACAATATAATCCACACAATCTACTGTCGTTTTGCGGTATAATTTCTTAATCAATCCAAAACTACCATCACACTTGAATTTAGTATGCCCAGGTACCATAAAATTCAATTCGATACTTTCATAATAACCGCAAATTACTAAATATAAGTAAAATTAAATGGTAGCATTATTTTTATTTTGTCCACCCGCATTGTCACAAGTAATTTTTAAACGTTTTTCTCCTTTATTCAATCTCTTAATTCCATCGAATACCATGCTCAGTGTGCCATTGGGTCCTTTTCCTATAATTTCGCCTTCATCGAGAACGTAATTAGTTTGTTCGCGTACTGCTTCATCTTGGATACCAAATAAATGTACTTTACGCGGACTGAGATAATAAATCTTACTTACCTGTTGATCGGAATGGGGAACGTGAACGTTTTGTGCCCAATCGTAACTGTAATGCGCAGTCGCGTCAACGCTACAATAATCAGCTTTACCTATTGTTATAAAATGCTCGTCTACCAATTTTCTCTGTTGTTCTGCTAACTTCGTATTTTTGTTGTAATAATTTCTCTCTAACTTGGCTTTAACTAAATGTTCTTTAAATTTTTTTAGTAAGTCTCTTGCTTCTTCTTCCTTGCGAGCATTATACTGTAAGCCGTTCCGAAAATGTTGGCATGTGTCACATAAATCCGCTCTTGGACTCATAATTTGAATATAAGGCGTTAATTGGTGTCATAACTTACGAAACGCATCATATTTTAACAATTTCAATGTGTTAT